GAACAAAATGTGTTTTAATCTTGACCATAATAAACAAACAAAATATGTACAAAATCACTATAAGGTCTCTGTATAGTGATGTTGGATGAAGCTTGCTCTTCAATTTTTTCATTATTGTATTAAGTAGAGAAGGTTGTATCATACCCCACTAGGGGGAGCTCTCAGAAGCTTAGAACAATCATTTTGTATGCATTGTTAAATGAGAACTATTGGGAGAGTAGAATTTACTTTGCACTCTGCAGCTGTCACACACCGGCTCAATAGCTTGAGAACTGAGCGATCACAAACTGCTGATCACTCACGGCTTTCTCCCTGCAGAGAGCAGTGACTGTCAGCGCTCATTGGAAGGGGCACAGCGGAAGGGGTGGGCACAGCTGGATCTGGCTCTTGAGAGGCAGAGCCAGCTGTCATTCAGGCAGCGGGGTGGATTTCCCGACAACAGTGTCAGGATCTTTCCTGGTTGCAGCACGGCTCTGCACTGTCAGCATATAGCCAGCAGTAGCCCACTATATGCTGAGTTTAGTAAATGTCCTCCTGTGACCCAAAAGACAACTATAGCCCCCAAAAAAGGTTTGGCTTTAGTTCTCTATTAATGAGTTAGCTGAATCTCTGGTGGACAGATCATTTGCTGCCAAATTAGAATTTTCACAGAAAGAGATGTTATTGTGAAATTGCACTGCTTTGTGGTTATCTGACAAGCAAACAGCACTTACTGGAGTTCTTTCTTACATAATTTTTTATTAGTGAACAAGAAAAGAAATGAGGAATGTGCAGACGAGGAAGATGTTATGAACACTCCATCTCTCTCTGGCTCTGAGGCTCTGGGAATATGACATACATGCGATTAGGAAAGCTTTCTTCAATGTTAAGCCCACATAGACTTCATGATGTGCTAACTGCAATGTCCAAGCCCAGATTCTAATTTTAAATGCCCTATTTTCTCTCTGTGTGGCGGCTTGATTGTTAATCTGATTTGACATTTTCCGTTCTATCAGCTGAATTTCTGTTCTTACTGTACTCTTACTGTTATGTTTCCCGGGCCTGACCCGTTCCCACATAGACTTCAAATTATTTACATTTGAATTGAGCAAATCCAGCAATGAGCTCCGTCTAAACAGGCAGAAAGTCGGGAGAGTTTCACTGTAACATTGCACGCTATCCTTGCTTCAGAAACTGGAAAACCAATATATACCATATCGTTATTTCACAAGCCTGCATTTTCTCGGTCCCCGGGGAGTCCTGTTTGCTATAATTAGGATAATTCCACATTCCTCCATCTTCCGGTCGTGTGACCAGTGCTCTGATTTTGGTCACATGGTCTCTGGTGATACAGATGGTTTTGGAGGTCTTATATAAGATGCTGAATGGCCTACTCTCCTAATGTAAAATTCTTCCACAACTTAAATCCATTTTACTGTATTCCGATCACTGTATGTTGTTAATATATATTGATCAAATTTAGTAGAGTCATTTCTTTTTATTTCTATATTTACATGTAGACCAAGCTGTTCATCAAACATGGCAGTGACAGGGGATGGAACTGATACCTTGCAGGAGATCTGCTAGCCTTCAGAAATATATCCACTGCGTCATGTTAAAAAAAGGTAGAGCTAGAAATTTTTTTAGAACTGTTGCAATTCTTCAATTATTTATCACTCCCCGGTGGTTGTCACGTGACCAATGCCACAACGTCTTTCAAAGCGTAGTTTAGAGGGGCAGTGGTCAGTCATATGACCACTGCAATTGCAAAGCATGGTGGCTTAGTGGTTACCACTTCTGCCTTGCAGCACTGGGGGTCCCCAGGCCAGGACACTATCTGTATGGAGTTTGCATGTTCTCCCTGTGCTTGTGGGGGTTTCCTCCTTCCTGAATGTTTAATTGACTCCTGTCTAAATTAGCCCCTTGGATTTTAAGCTCCTTGAGTGCATGGATGTTAATGTCCAGTATGTAAAGTGCTGAGTAATTGTCGGCGCTATATAAATAGATAAAACATTTTAAGGATGCCAGGAGACAGGTACATTTTTCTAAAAAAGTATAGATCCACTCTCGCAAAACATTAGGATAACTCATTTTATATACTGTACACAAAGCCAACACATTACTGCATTTGTGTTTTTTCTGCTGTGTATTCCATACATTGGTTTCTATAGCTGCATAGCCTAGGACATAAGTCATGTAATTATCCCTATCAGCTGCACCTGTCATCGGTGAAAGTGTATTTACATACAGCACACATACAAACACTGTCTGCTGTAAATGAATAGGGAAGGCTTGTGCGACATGTACCGGAAGACACACAACCAACGCATAGAAGTTATGCTGCATAGTTAATACTGCCTGCAGCTGAGAGGCTAAAAGAGACACTTGCAAGACATTCCACTAAGATTATTATGTATAATGATATATTAATAAAATGAATCCCTCCCATAGCTGTGAGCTACGAGTGCCATGCACAGATATATCCTGGTTTCCATCAACATCATTTTACGAAGTTACTTTTACACTTCTGACTTGTCAGTAAAAATTACCTACCTGTCCTCCCAAGAATCCCAAAACCTAGGCCTCTAAATATGTAAATACTGACTTCCAGCTCTGACGTACGTTGGCATTGTGATACAACCCCTAGTTAGGCTTGCTGTAATGGTGTAGAAAGCATGCTAGAGCTCTGAGCAATGAAGCTGGGAGCTGTTGTTTGAATTGTGAAGATAAAAAACCAAGGTAGGGTTTCCTGCTGGAGTCACCATTTAGCCGTGTTTAGTCCAACAAGGGAGCGCAATTAACTTGATTAGGCATAAAGAGATAGCTAGATAGATAGATAGATAGATAGATAGATAGATAGATAGATAGATAGATAGATAGATAAAAGTACCACCTAATAATAAAGTGTAAAAATTAGAAATAACTCTTATAAGGGATATAAAAATAACAATTATATTAAAAGATAGCTAATATATGTTATAAATTATTATATACCTAAGGATATAAATGCCAAATAAAATCTTAACCCTTAATGTGACACTTATTTGTGTATCACTCGGCTGTAGATCCTCAAAACATCTCTGAATTGGTGCTGACACTGTCCTTCCTTCTGGAGGTTGGTTAATTTTGTTCCCCATAGTCCCTGTGTGTGTTATAAAGTAGCCACGGCTCCAAGCTTGCTCCCCTGATGTACTACAATCTCATGTTTAGTTTATTAATTTGTATTGAGATTGTAGTCTATCCCAGGAGTGAGCTTGGAGCGGTGACTACTTTACAACACACACAGGGACCTTGGGGAACAAAAGTAGCCCCCCTCCAGAAGGAAGGACAGTGTCAGCACCAATTCAGAGATGAGTTGAGGATTTACAGCTGAGTGATACACAAATAAGATACATTTTTGTGAATAGTTCAGGTATTTGAATGCATTTGTAAGATTAACTCCTGAGTTTAGTGTCCCTTTAACAGTGTATAGGACTTAAGGACGCTGAAATACATTACATTGTCGGAGCAGAGAAGGAGAAGGGCTGAAGGGACCGGTCTAGGAGCCAGTTGGTATTGCAGGTTCGGGTGAGTATATCTCTGTTATTTTAGCTTCCTAAACAAAATGAACACTTAACTCGTGCAAGACCCACTGCAAGGGTTAAGATTTTATTTGCTTTGAGGTGTAAAGTGCAATTCACACTGCTGGAGCTGCCACAAAGCACTAGCCAGTCTGCTTAACTACTCTGACAACTGAAAGTTCACATTGTTTCCGGATTGCATTGCTTGTATTTTGCACTTTATACAAAGTTGTTAGAGATCTGTTTTTTATCGGTTACTCATGATTCACAATTTACTTGAATTGTACTTTGCACTTCATGAGTGTATTTAATTTACAGCTTACTCAGCATAGATTACCTATCTTTTACATAATTGTTGTTTTTAATATCATTTATAGGAGTTATTGCTGATTTTTAGTTTGGCAGATGCTCTGAACAACAGATTTGTGTACATGTTTGTATTGAGAAGTTGATATTTAACCCAAGTACAGTCAGACATCTTTCCATAAAGGCAACCTTTATGGAAAAGCCAACACCTACAAAATGGAAGCTTGTCACCTTTGCTTTAGCAGTGTCCAAAAGCGATCTCAGAGGTTTGAGAATTTGATGTAATGTAACATATAACATGTATGATTACTGGAAATTTGGACCTGGAGCAGACACTTATTACTGAATGCGAGAAAATCAGCTAAACTAACAGGAAACATACAGGAAATTACTGCATGCAAAAGTAATCATCATGTCTCCATATCGAATATCCTAAGAAAGTGGACTTTGTCCATATCATTAAACATTTTATGATTATATTGCATTTTAAGCTCCAGGCAAATACAAACACCACTAATTAGTCCAGTTAAGTGGTAATTAGAAATGTTTTTAAAAATGTGACAAGGAAGAGTGCGTAAAATCTGTCTTTACATTATCTGCCTATGGTACCCTACAAATCGGAAAGCATGCTATGGCCAATGTCACACTTGTGATCCTGCCACTGGCAAGTTGTTGATTGCAAAAAAGTGCTATGAAAATACGTACCTGTTTCTACAGGTCGCTCCCTCGCTAATGGAAAGGCGACGGAAAGTTACTCACCAGCGAGAGAGCAAGGCCTTCATCACCCAAGCAGTAAGGGAATGACCTCTGCAATGATTATTTTTCTGCCCTGGTCTACATAGTGATCCTGTTGCTGGCCATTTGTCATCAGTGACAAGCTCACAATTATGGCATCTGCCTAAGAGTGGGACTTTTGGTGGTGTAAGCCATTCAGGGTACTGAGAACTGAAGGGGGAGCGTTCCAGAGGATTAAACAGGGAGACTATTAGCAATGGGATGATGTTCATTCAAAGTTCAAGAAAGCAGGTGACACAGGGAGATGAAAGGTGCAACCTTTCTGACCGAAGAGACACATTTCCAATGTGTATCGTCTGTTGGCTTGGAACTAAGCTCATAATCACCATACCAACAGTAAATAGTATAATATATACCCACCTCATAGACAAAGTATACTTTGGCTTCTACGTAGATTCCCATGCGAACAACAGCACGGACAGCTGCATTCATACCTGATAGAAAGAGAGAAAATGCCTGTTAGTGCTGTCATAAGAACGAAAAGAAATATCCTATATTGCATTCGTCATATATGCCATAAACCAGCAGCTCTGGATGGACTGGAGGGATTGATGTCTGCTTTAAGGCTATACACCAGTCAGCTATAAATATCATGATGTGTCCCTCTCCCCCAAGCCCCGAGGGAAGGTTTAAAGCCCAATTTAATGTTAAGTTTAAATTAGATAAACACATTCTGTGTGTATCAAAAGGTGTGCAGATTATTACAGTTTATTTTCTTTAGAAATCACTCAGCCACAGCCTGAATAGATGAGTGTGCCCCCTGGTAGAATGCTGCAGGGAAGGACCCTTACTCTGTGTGGTAACAGTAGTCTCTATGCAGAAGTTCGACGTGAAACCTGAAGAGTTACAGCCAGAGCTCTCCAATTAATTAGGGCTGCAACAACTAATCGACATAATCGATTATAATCGATTTGGAAAATAATCGTTAGCTGCAGCTCTACAATTAATGCTGAACTTTAGTTTTGCTGGTTGGAGAACTATAGACTGCCTCATTAAGGGGGTGTGACGGACTTCTGCAATGAGACTACTGCTTCCACACAGAGTGCAAGGGTTCCACTATGCAGCAGCTAACAGAGTACAGATGGTCTACTTAGAAAGAGACTCTGATATGAAAGAGTAATGTAAAAGAGGAATCTGATTAAAGCGGGACTGAGGACTCTGATGTAAAGGGGAAGCTTCTGATGTGAAAGGGGGCTCTTACGTGAGGAGGGGCTCCAAGTATGAGATGGGGGACTCTGATGTAGAAGGAGGGGGCTCCTAATGTAAAGGTGGACTCCTGATTTGAAGGGGGATTCTAATGTAAAGGTAGGAACACCATTTTTTTCTGATTTTTGCATGGGGTCTCCTCCATATCAGAGATAAGGGTCTGGTATAGATGGGTGCATGCTGTGGGCTTTGTTTAGACAGTTAGGCAGACTGAAACTTTCTGAAATAGGCACTCTCCGAAGCAGTAACCAATAACAGTATTTTGAACTTACACTTGAAAAATAAAAGTTGGACTGCTGTAATGACCTGGAATGTGACTGGTTGATAATGCAATACAGACAAATATCATTTTAGACAGTTTCATAAATAAGGACTGCTTAGAACCATGGATCACCTTCAAGGATATAACCAGTTATGGAGTACCATATATAGGCCCTATAATATATATGATACTGTACGGTGTCATACAGAATTAGTGTAGAATGAAGCACAGCTCAGTGCTTCGTTTTAGTAATTAAATTCATCTTCTTAATATTTTTCATGAATCATGTCCATGCATACTCTTCTAGAGGCAGCTGTTCTTATCCTATCAGGATATCTAAGCTTTCTGAGTTCTAGAATTAATCAATAAAGTCAAGCAAAGATGAGATGATGGACGAAACTCAAGCAACCAATCAGATTTCTGCATTGATGGATAAGCATAAGAAGTGTATGCAAGGCAATACAATGAACGTTGTTAATCTTAGGTGACTGTGGGACAAGGTTTCAGACCTTCATAATAAGATTATGGGATTTGCAAAAAGCCATTTGCCTCATTCACAACAGCAAGGCAGGCTCCACCTACAACGTACACAGAATTCCTCTGGTATCCAACATATAAAACAGTACAAAAGTGTCTCTGCAATGCCAACAGTGAGGTATGCAGGAACAAGAGAGAGAAACTGATTTGCTGTTAGAATGATAACTGTCCTTACTGAAGAAACTATGGATCAAGTGGTCTGATATATAGCAGTATTTATACTACAGAATGAGTATGGGAAAAGGTCAATTATGAGCTTTCTTTACACTTTTCTCAAAGTGCAAAGGGGGAGGATATTGCCTTATGTTGTCATAGAAGTCTAAATAAAAATTAAAAGTAAGCATGCACTCCTGTATGTGGTTAACAGTACATGGCCACCCCTCCATATTATTTATTTTATGTGCTTTCAGTGACGGTTACATTTAATTCTACAGCAGCATAGTTTAAAGACCTTTTAGACAATTGTGCACTTCCAACCTTAGGGCAACTCTTTGGGGAAGGCCATTTTTGGTTTCAACATGACTGTGCTCCGTTATACAAAGCCAGGTCCATAAATTCATGGCTTGGTGCTAAAAAAAAAATAGTGTAGCCAGCATAAAGCCCTGACCTCAACCCTACTGAACGCCTTCGGGATCAACTGAACACCAACTGTGAGCCAGCAAGGTCTTCTCATTTAATATTAGTAACTGATCTCACAAATGGCATTTTGGCTGAATAGGCATCAATACCCACAGACACCCTCCAGGATCTTATGGAAGGCCTCCCATAAGATTGGAGGCTAATATAGCTGCAAACTCCATATTAATGCCTATGATTGTGGAATGGAACATCCAACATGCTCATACAAGTGTGATGGCCAGGTGTCCACAAACCATAAAGTCTACATAACATCAGGTTCCATGTTTTAGTTGTATCTATAAAATGAAGGTTACTGTTTACAAACCAGCTTCCTATCTCTGATGGTAGGTTAGTAACTGTAGATGTATTTGCATTGTTTGTAATAGCTACTTTGTTGCCTGGAAACCACAATAGATAAAACTCATTGGGTACTTGCAGACTGCATTTGCTGCTATAAACCAAGAAATTATGTAACATTCCTTTTATCCTTCTAGACAACGCACTTAAAAACCGACAGTGCACACAACTAAACAGCATTACTAATTGCTATTATAAAAGAAGTTTGACTTTTGCCTGTATTAATACTCTTCCAGCACTGCAGGACTGATTATAATAGAAGGTCCACTCTATACTCATTCCTAATTAGCATTTATTAACATAATTGGTAAGTAATTAAATAACATTTGGGGTGAAAGTCAGGACCATAAAGAGCTCTTTCAAAGCTTGGAAGTACATCTTTTAATGCACAGAAATATTACCACTTGTTGGCAGGTCCTGACAATATGGCTAGCTTAACACGCTGCAACCAATCAGAAATCATCTCTAAAGGTGGCCATACACCTGCCCATTATCGTACGATAATCGGGGTAAATCCCGCGAGCGTACGATAATAGGCAGGTGTGTGGAAGGTGTGCAACCGTTTCTACTGTATGGTCGCATGTTTTTTGTCTTACGAGCATGTTTGAAAACCAGCCGAAAATTGTACGATATTCTGCGGGTTTGTGGCGTGTTTGTAGCGCACACTGCCCGTTCAGCATTGCAGTCATTGGAAGCCTGCCCCTCAGCGGGGCGGGCTTTGCGATAATCGCAAGTACGATCTGCCGCCCAAGATGGGCAGATCGTACGTTTTTTTTTTAATGACCTTACAACCATCGCACAACGAAAGTCTTGCGATGGTTGTAAGGTGTATGGCCAGCTTTAAGCTAACCACATATACAGTATTTCTGTTAAATTTCTTTATTGATAAACAGCTCAGAATGTACACACATAAAAGAGGAGCGGCATGCTGCTCAAAACGTAGTGCAAAAGATAAGATCACATTCCGGATTCACGCAGGGATCCAACAGCGAGCCTGCTACGCATATATAGACATTTGTTTAACAGGTATAGTCCGCAGCACGCGTGGGTCAACATACCCACTAGATTGGTAACATATATAATGTAGTACAAAACATCTCTGATACCATCCTTTCACATCATGGTATATTATCATTCCCACCGCCTGTGCAATCACAATAAACTAAACATTTGCTGTGTGAAGGTATATTTTCCTCTTGTGTGCTACAGGGTGAACTCCTATAGCGAAGATTGCCGGGAGTTTATCCTATATCATTTTGCAGAAAGTGAACATATGTGGGAACATCATCCCTAACAGAGGGGGAGGGGGGTGGGAAGTAGAGGGAAAGAAGAAAGGGTATAGGTATAGGTAATAGCCCGGTTTCCCGCGGTGGCAGATCCGGCCCCTACGCTCAGGTCGCCATGACCCGCAGATACGTATCCGAGTCACGGAAATGGAGCCATGCACCCCAGGTTGAGCAGAAGCGCTCTTCGGAGTTATGTACAGCCGAAGTGAGATCCTCCATGCGATATGTGTCATTGATTTTTTCAAACCACATGCGCCTGGTAGGGGGAGTGGTTTGCCTCCATAGCATAGGAATGCACGCCTTGGCAGCAGAGAGTAGATGGATAGTGAGAGACCTCTTGTATTTGGTAATGGGCATGGTCGACATGTGTAGTAGGTAGGTCGCAGGTAGATCACCCAAGTCAGTCATGGTAAGTTGATTTATGGTTTCCCTGACATTATCCCAAAAGGGTCTGAGTTTGGGGCAGGACCAGAAGATGTGGGACATCGTTCCTCTTCCCTCCTCGCATCTCCAACATGTGTCTGGCACTAATGGGTTAATCTTGTGGAGGAGAGTAGGGACCCTGTACCACCTGGACAAGATTTTGTAGCCCTGTTCTTGAGTCTGATTGGCTATAGAGACTTTGTGAGTGGCCACCATAGATGTGGCTCGTTGTTTCTGCGTGAACACTTGGCCCAGCTCCTCTTCCCATTTCTTCAGGAAAGGGGGATAATAATCCTGTGGAGTGGATATCAGCTCCCCGTATAGTGTCGCAATCACATGTCGTACTGGTTGTCCTTGTTGACACAGGGATTCAAATGGTGTTAGGGCTCGCGTGGGCATCGCAGAGTGGGGGATCGCCGACAGAAAGTGCCGTAGTTGCATGGCTGCCCTGGTGCTGAGGGGGCGATACTAAAGCTCTAATAGAGGCTTGGGATAGCCATTGTCCGCCCTCAAAGAGATCTAATAGGCAAAACCTATTTGCCTTGTATAAGTCCCTAAGGCGCGCATCGTCCATACCAGGGCCGAAGTCCGGGTCTCCCAACACAGGAGTCATGGGGGATGGGAATGGAGAAACGGGCGTGTTTTTAAATGTCTCCCGGGCTGTTCTCAGGGTCGCACCTATAGTGGGGTGTGACCTCAGGGCCGGGGTGAGTGGCGCTGTAAGCCGCGGTAGGCCCTCTAGTGG